TGATCAACGATTGTCAAAAAACTCAATCCTTGTATTTTCGTCAAAATTGAATTCTTCGTATAAATTTGCGCTTGATGCCTGCCAAAAAAACATTAATTTAGAAATAGTTTTATTTTTATTTCATGAGAAAACGCTTTATGCTATTTCCGGCTATTTGATCATCGGCTGATTGTCAATATTAGAGGGGGGCATAAATGAGGTGTGACACGCGCGTCATCCCTTCTGTAGAGATAAGGTGATAGAGATTGAGGGAAAGCTATAGAAAAGAAGAGGAATAAGGAGAAGTTTGGTCTGTTTGTCGAGAGACGCCCCCTCAACCCATCTCCACCTCTTCTTCTCCACTGGCTTGTACCCCAGCCCCCCCTCTAGCCCTCCCCCCGAACGCCGCTCCTCCTCTCCACGCAAAACACGGGCAACCACCGATTGTTCAAGCCCCCCTGGCTATCTTTACTCCTGACAATTCATTGATCTGACTAGTTTTTGTAATTTTTTTTGTATTTTTGGTTTATAGCGAGGATTTGGCAAACTGGCTTGAGGATGTTAGGATTTTGCAGTTTTGAAAAACCTAATCCTTGCATTTACACTAAATTTTACCAAGCTCTTCAAATTCTGTTGTAATTTGCACCAGTTTAGCAACAAATGAAAAGACCTGCCCAGTGTTTGAAAGGCTTTTTGATGTTTATGCCCTGAATTTGCAAACTGACGGATGACTGTTCTTTTCGCAGTTTTCAAAAACTCAATCCTTGGATTTGCGCTGAATTTCGATCATCTCTGCTTATTTTGTTTCTATTTGCTACAGTTTACGGGAATACATAACTTACTTAAGGCCCATGGCAGTATTACGCCGTTTATTAACCTACATTTCTTTATGTTGCCTTCAAAGCTACAAACTCCAAACTCAATCCTTGCATTTTCAACGTTTTAGGAAAATGTTCTAACAATATTTTTCGTTTCAGTACAGTTTAAATAGTAATGGGACTTTTTAAACAAAAAAGTAGCCTTTCAGCCCGAAATTGACTTTTTTTCTCAGACTACCCGGACATGGAAAGACGATGCCGCCCCGTCATTACCCAGCCAAAAAAACCCCTTCGTGAATCCAACTGTCCATGTTAACACGGGTTCGAACCGTCATATTACCTGTTCCTCCTCTCGTTTCTTCCTTCTGGGTTGCAGGTGTCCCCAATGAGGTATCATTCGGATTTTCCGGCGCCGAGCTGTCGCCCACCCAATCCCTTTTTGTCTCAACCATAGAGGGGAACGGGGATGCAGCGAGGATACGGTAGTAGGGCCAATTTAGGTGCAACGAGCATCCCCGCATAGCCAGAATATGGGAAACCCCCAATTGTCGAGAGGGAGAGACAGGGTGGCTGGGATAGATACCGTATACTATGCCAAAGGGAGCTGCGATACGCTTTTCCTGCGAAAAGGTGTTATTTGGCATTTTGCGTGGCAGCCGTCTGCTGTATGATGCATCCGATTTACTTGCTTTCTGGCTGAAATAGAATTGGCTGATGGAGATTAGAAAAATTAGATCGTTAATTTGAAGGATTGAGTTTCGCTCCAACTCCAATTTGGCCCATATTTTACAGTTCTACTAATCTATTGATTTTGCCATTGGTAAAAATATTTTTCCTTCTGATTTTCTTGTTTTCTGGCTGTAATTGAAGTTGATAATTAAAATTAGAAAGGTCCAATCGATGATTTGAAGGATTGAGTGGGGCTCCAAACCACAATCTGGGCCACAGCTGCCGCGATTCAATTTTATGCCAAGCTAATCCTTTTTTATTTTTTGTAGATTTTGTCGTTCCGATTTTCTTATTTACTGGCCGTCACAGAAGGTAGAAATTGAAATTATAAAACTTCAGTCGATAAGCCCAAGGGTTGAGTTTTGGTCTGTGTGACAGAACTCAAACTACAACCTGGCCCACAGTTGCAATGTTGTGGCCGTTTGCCCGTAGATACAACCACTTCCTATCGTCTATTTGATGTTCAGCTAAGTGTATGCAAATGTGGTTCCGACTGGAGGGAAGGAGGGAGGCTGACTGTAAGGAGGAGTGTGGGCCTTGTAGGGGGTGCTGTTTGGACTGCTCGCAATCAGTCTCTCTCTACCTCCAGGTATGGTGTTGTCTATGCTCTCTCTATCCCTACTGTCTCTCTTCTGTCGGCCACTCTCTCTCCTCCTGGTACCAGCCGTCATTCCCTTATCTTCCTTCCTTCCTTCCTTCCACACACATTACCCGGAGAGACCCCCAATCGGGACTTTCCCCCTTCCTCTCGGCTCAAACTGGGGTAGGGGGCACTGTTCTTCGATCGGATATGCTTATTGTCATCCAGATACTCAATCCTCGATTTTGTGCGTTTTCTCATGATTAGATTGTCCATGCCCCTTAAAGTGAGTCAGTTAGGCCATTAATGTGCCGAAAACAATACCTCGATGCGTTTTCCTACTTATATTTTACTATTCTGTATATCACTCTACCAATTTTCAATCCCAGCTTTTCTGAAAAATGAAAATCTGAGGATTGAGTTTCCTAAAAGTTACTATTCTATACCCGTTATCATTCAAAGGCTTAATCCTCGATTTTGAGACTTTTCTCGAAATTATCTTGTCCATGCACTTTGGTATCGTCCAATTGAGCCATTAAAGCGCCGGAAAAACTATTTGAATGTTTTTCCTTCTTGGAGCTGACTATATTGCTTCCCATTCGAGCAATTTCCAGTGCTAATTTTGTTGTAAGCCGTAAATCAGAGGATTGAGTTTCGAAATACTCAATCCTTGGAATAACTTATTTTCTTGCCCACGTGCTGCTAATATACCTCCAACGCGGCCACTCAAGTCATTAATGCGCCGGACGAAGTATTTTAATGCTTTCTCTTTCTTATATTTGGCTATTTTGCATACCACTAACAACTTTTCAATGCTAACTTTTACGTACATTGAAAATCTGGGGATTGAGTTTCTAAAAACGGCAATCATCGCTTTGCTCTGCAATTTTCCCGATTTTTTGCTGTCCATTCATGAAAATGGCACTCATGGCGAATCATCTGATTGCCAATATGTTCACTTAATCAATCGGAAGTGAGGAGGGAAGGCAGTGGAAGAGGAGATGATTATTTTGGATGATTAAAGGACAGCTAGTCATCAGGGAGCACCGCCTCCTTGTTCTTCTCCTTCCTGCCCTCCACCCTCCACATTCGAATTGTTGATTTTGCAGATTGACCCTCTTTCTCTTGACTTTAGACGGGAAGGGCCACGATTCCCACGGGGAGAACAAGTACAGAGAGATCAATCTTGCAAAAAGTACGTAGTGATACAGCGGACACCGGAAAGGTTAGTTTTTGCCTTCCTGGTCCCTTTAATTTGACGGTCGCCCTACAGATCGATGGTTTTTTGTGAAACTGGCTAGTTTCCTCCCCCTTCCCCTGCTGACTAGATCTAAAAATAGTGGATTGTTATCAGATAGTTTGGTCGTTTCCCTTCCTTCCTCCATCCCCTCTCTCACTCGACTCGTTTTCCACAATTAGACCAGAGAGTTCAGTCTTTTGGCTGTGTATCTGCCAGGATGACTGCCACTTCTCTTACTAGTCGCATCACCTGGGTTCAGTTTCTGATTTGCAATCGTTTGACTGGCTGAAATAGCAGCTTTTCAAAAACTCAATCCAGCGTTTTATCAATGGAAATCATACCGTAGCGTTATTCTGACAAAATGGCGACCAGTGTACCTTTTAACAAACTCAATCCATCAATTTAACCATTTTTGGTAGTACTTTCACACCCTCTTACGAAATAGGTGTCAGTTGGCCATTCCTCGTACCCAGACTGACCATTGGCCCACAGGGCGGGCCCTCTCTTGGGCCTTAATTTTGACGCGTGTGCCTTTGGGGGGATGGGCATCGATGGATCGGGCGATTTATCAGTCAAAAGAGAGAGAGAGAGAGAGAGAGAGAGTGAGAGAGAGAGAGATCCCCTTCACTCTTGTCGATTACAGCCATTTGGGAGAGAGAGAAGCACCTATAGCTATCCCAGATCTCGTGCCCATACCAATAATTGACTCTATAACTACGTACAGCATGCCATAGAAATTTTATTAATTTTTATAACCTCAAACTAACTGTGACTCAAAAGAATTAAGGTTTACAGCCGTTTTTAGTGGATTGAGGTTTTTTTTGGCGTATTTTCCGTTTGCTTGTAGAGACGAATGGACAGTTCATCCCCGTTCTCCATATCTTCCGTTCTCATATTCGGACTTTCTGTCCTCCCCTCCCCCCTCGAGTTCCATCTATTTTTGTCCACCTCCTCCCATCCCGAGATATCCACGTCCCGCAACAACTCACTGCTCGCAACCAATTGACCGCCGTCTAATTTGAACTAACGTGTAAACTGGGTGGTTTCTGGTTGTTTTTTTCCGTAGTTGCTATCGATTTTGAAAATTTGGAGGATTGAGTTTTTACAAATCTCACAGCGCGTCAAGCTGTATGCAAGCCAAGCGATTTGCGACGTTTTTTATCTGGAAAGCTTAGTTGGGTGGATTGAGTTTTTAGAGCTTAACTTACGCTAAACTGCACTGCAGTCCAGGAATTAGCTGCGTTTTACGCTACGCAACGTTCAAAAACTTGGATTGAGTTTTTGCAAATCTCACATTGCCTTAAGCTGCTTTGAAGCCAAGAGATTCGCTAGATTTTTTACGCAGTAACGTCTACTTTGGTGGATTGAGTTTTTCGAGCTTAAATTACGCTAAACTGCACTGTTGCCAAGCAATAGCTACGTTTTTTATGCATAAACGTTGAAATTGTTGGATTGAGTTTTTACAACTCTCAAACCAACCAACCATCACATTTTTTCCGCAAAATACTCTATACTGGTGGATTGAGCTTCCAATGCTTTACTTTCCTTTCCACTAAAACTTATTACTATGGATTGAGTTTCCAATTGTTCCCTCATTTTTTTCTCTTCAATTTCCTTTTTGTCTAGCACCCATTCCTTTGCAGGGCCAGCCGGGATGGCTTCCAAGAAAATAATAAAAACTCAAACAAATCTTGGTGGGTTGCTGGAGTCAAAAAGTAGGAGAAAAAAATTATTTTAATTTTTGGAAAAATAAAAATATGATTTTCAGGGGGCAGTAGTCGAACGATCGAACATCAAGACCCGAAGAAATCGATCGAGGATCTTTTCACGAATCGATTTGTCAAGAAGCCAAATAAGGTATGCCACAATGGTCACATATTTAAAACTCGAGATTGAAGCCTCAACTCCCAGCGGCATTTTATCAACAACCTACCAATAGAGGCAGGGGATCTGCTGGACATTCCCCAGTGGTACGTTGTTTCTTGTATTTTTTAGTTTTTAGCTAACGAATCTTTTAAACTGTCTAAATTGCTGTGTTTTTTACTATACTCTAAACGAAAAAAACAATTCTGTTAAAATCTTCGATTATTCGACCAAAAATTCCGAATTTTTATAGAAATTCCGAATTTTTTGAACATTAAAAAGTTTTTAGATGGTGTTCGAACTGTATAGAAGTCTATCTAAAAATCTTTATTCAGGGTTCGTCGGATGATGGGTTCAAGTCAAATAGCCAATTGACGCTCAGCCCTCAATCATCAACATCACCAGGGGTGGGCCAGCCCCAATATATGCATCAGAGAATGGTCCGTCTTAGCCAATGCCTTACAACTTATAATTTTAGCTTATCTGACCATCACTTTATAGGGTTCTGCCCCGGAATTGGTGAATTCTCTGTATTCTGCCCCGTCATCCTCCTCTCATATCCCTCAACCGGGTATCCCACGGCCAATGCATAAACCCAGCTACAGTATGAGTGGTAAGTACCGTAATATAATTCATTTGCGGCAGCTGGTTGTCTGGTTCTAATTGTCTGGTTTAGAAGTGTCCCACGAAATCCCGTCATATCACTCCCGATCTTTATCGACTGATGCCACGCATCATCAAATGTAAGTTTTTGAAAACTCAATCCTTGAAAGCCGGTCTTAATTTAATGATATTTATTTATTAAATTTGCTCGTAAGGTAGGTTAATCTATTCGAGAAATCATCTACAGAAATACCAGGCTAAACGCCTTATTTCAAGGTTTTTCTGTATAAATGCCACCCCAAAAACTCAATCCTTCAAAATTAACATAAACTCTATTTTGATTCTTTATCTGTGTTTAACGCAAGGTAGTTTAAGCTAGAAAAGAAAGGTTTCGGAAAAAAATATCTTTTTAACCCCTTATTTAACGTTTTTTCGAAGAGTACGTGGCGCGCCAGAAACTCAATCCTTCAAACTTGTCCTAAATTTATTGTTTATTCCGCATTAACTTTTATGATCCGGCAGTTTAATCTGGCACAGAACGAATTTACAAAAATACTACGGTTAAGCGCTTTATATCGTGTTTTTCGAAAAGTACGTATCACTCCAAAACTCAATCTTTCAAAGTTATGCTAAATCGGCTTTTTATTCCTGGTTTACAGCGAGCGTACGGTAGCTTAGATTAGAAAAAACCATTTCGAAAATAATATTTTTAAATCCTATCTTTCATGAATCTTACCAAAAAGTACGTATCACTCCAAAAACTCAATCCTTCAATTTGCATCTTTTTAGCGTTTTAATAATCGCTAAAAGTCTATGGCAAGTCAGTTTAACCTAATTCAAAGTTCTTTTCTATTTTACATCAAGATTTTCAGGGAACCCCGTCTGGGTGCAGCGTGTTCCCCCTTTGGCGGTCCTCCCCAGGCCCCAGCGACGTCATGGCGTTCTGATCCTCAAATAGTGGGTGGATGTGGTGGTGATGATGGATTGTCATCTTCGCATGGCCCTCAACCAGCTCTTCCCCCTCCACAACAAACCACTTCATTCCCTCCATATCAACATCAACAGCCACAGCAACATCCCGTCCATCCACCTCCATTCGGCCATCAAACTGTTTGTCTTTTAGTTGCATTTGGTTTCTTTAAAAATCGGCGAAAACCCGTTGTTGTGTGTGTTTTTCTGGTTTATAGTCTACGATATGAAGTGCTAAAAACCCTTTTTGCATGGAATTTTGAGGATTGAGTTTTTACCTAGCCCGCTCAAAACTGCCCGAATTCTTCCTGCTTTTTTGTTTCGATCAGTGAATCTCTTGTCAGTTAGTACTTTGTAGCCTCCAGAACAGCGATTTCCAACAAAAATTGTTTACAAGAGCTTTTTGTCTGTTCGTTATACCCGATCTGTGGTGAAGTGATGTGTTTTGTGGCAATTCGTGGTTTTTTGCAGTATTGGGCTATTAAATCTGTTAATATTGTTTGTTTTAGGATCCAAAAGACGGCCTGGGTCCACTTCCGCCAGGTTGGACATTTGGAGATGATGGGAATGGTTGTCGATATTACATCGATCATTCAAGACAATTCACAACCTGGGAGGATCCGAGACTTAATCCTGCCGGTAAGTCGTTAGACACTTTATTATTTCGTATAATTGCCAACTGGTAAGCAGTTTTGAAGTATTCATAACGGATTTTAAAATTATTCCACAAGTTTTTTATCAAAAAAACAAAAATTCCATATTTAGCCCTCGACCATCGACAAAATCCATACGGGTACCCGCCACAGATGCCGCAAAATGTAAGAAACTTTATTTTTTTGAGGAGATTTTTATGTAAACTGGCTTATAAACAATAATATAATGGAAAGGTTTTACGAAAAATTATGATGTTTAGCAGCGACTGATGGGAGAATACAGTTCGGCCAACGTGCAACAACTCGAGGCAGAGAAATCAGCAATGAGAGCGAGACAAGAAAGTCTCATGAGAGCCGTATGTCCAAAAGAATATTATATTTGCAGGGATTCTTTTAGGGACTTCTCGATCCGCCACAAATGATGGCTGGACATGAACAATATCAACAATATCCTCATCATCAACCCGCACTACACCATGTACCACCCCATCAGGTATCACAATATCTACACATTTATTTTAAAGCTATTCATTTATGTAAGCTGCCTATTAACTATTTGAAAAAACTATATAACTTCGAAATTTAGCGACAAATTTCAATAGAAAAATTTAAAACCTCCAACCCATGTAAACTGGCTAGTCAAGATTCGAAAAAGCGACAAACTGGCAATTTTGACGTCCAATTTTGATATTAAACATTTAAAAACTATATAACTATGTAAACTGACTATTGATTATTCCAAAAGTCAGAATACCTAAAAATTTTAGCGTCAAATCTCCGCGGATTCGGCTTTACCGGATAATATGGATGCTATGGATTTCACATCGTATGGATTGGGAATGGTACGTAAATCCTTTAAGTTATGTTTTTCTTCAAAACCATCGTTAAATTCCTATAAACTGACTTCCATTTAGGACATCAATCCACAAGAATTCGACAAATACCTTCACATCAGTGGAAATCGTTAAAAATCGTCGTTTTCACCTTTCTTTCCCAGCCTTTTTTTGATGGCTTGAAAAGTAGACTTCACAAGTCAAAATAATTCGATTCCCAAAAATCTACAGTCAATATTTGACAAATTGGATATGATAATATTAGTCCATTTTTTATTATTATAAAGTGCTGTGTTTTGTTCATTCTATCGAGCTTCCCCCTTAATTCTTGTCATTTTTATTGCCTTTTGTGTGTTTTATGGATCTGTGCTCTTCTCGATTGTCTTAATTGTCAAAAACTACTGTGAATATTTGTACTAGGGAAGGCGCTTTTTATCAAATAGGCTGATTGGTCAGCCCGCCACTTAGTACCCCCATTAAAATATATACTTTGCGTAACTGATTGTCGAAAATGTTTTCCGGCGTTCCGTTGGGGGACAGTGCCAGCCAGAAAAACTCAATCCAAGGCTTTGAAGCCAATATGGCATGTTTCAAACACTACCTGGGCATCCAGTTAGCCAATTTTGAGAAAACTCAATCCTCTATTTTGAGTCCTGAGAAAGAATTTTAGCGGCTTCGGCCATCGCTTGGTCGCCAGGTAGCAAATATCGTGGATTGATATAAAACTCAATCCTTAATTTTTGTTCCTAGATGTTAGTTTACATTTTTAAGCCATGACTGGGTCGCCAGGTAGCAAATTTCAAGAAACGATAAAAACTCAATCCTTGTTGTTGCCCGAAAATATAATTTTTCGTTTTTAAACCACCACCTGGTCGCCAGATGGCAAAATGCAAGGATTCATCTAAAATTCAATCCTCCATTTTCAGCCCTAGCGTTGGTTCTTAAGCCTAAACCAATCGAGCAGCCTCCAGTTAGCAATTTTCTAAAAAACCTCAATTACCGTAACCGCAGCAGCTGGCACTGTCTCTTTAAATGGGCTATTGTATGCACCATTCTCCCTCCCCTTTCCTTTCCTTCGCCAATGGGTAGCTCAGTTAACCATCTTCTTCCACTCAGTTCCCTTTTTATCACCATTTCTATTATTTTTATTTGCCGTCAAAGTAGTAGCTGTCGATCAGCAAAATTAATTTAAATTATAAAAATGTTAATTAATCGAAAAATATTTTGTAAAATCGAAATTTTGTGTAAATAAACCTAATAAAAAATTGTCCTCTAATCTATTGCCCTGTTTGTGCTGCGCTTTCTCGTGTTCGTCAAATTTTTTTTGGTAAATGATAAATCAGGATCGATTCCTAAGAAAAAATCTTTACACTTGCAGGATAGCTGACCTAAATCTACAAAATATATAAAAATATCCAAAATGCAGGTGGTTTAAAAGGTTTAAAAGTACAGTGGTCTATTCTAGCATACAGATCAGTGACTGCCAAGCAGACTACGAACTACAAGCTGCAAAATCTAATTACTAACACCATCAACAAATCTAGTCATCAGATCCGGGTCCAAATTTCCATTAATTACGCTAACAGTCACGGCAGCCCCCCGTATCACCTAAAATGCACCCAACGGCACGCTTTTGTGGTTTTCTGGTTTGTAGTCTACGATAAGACGTGGTAAATAAACAGTTTGCATGTGATTCAAGGGATTGAGGTTATTGATGGTATTTCTAAGGTAAAATTTTTGTCATAAATCCTAAATCCAAATTTATTTCAACGCAAAAAAAATTACCAGAATGCAGCTGACACGTATTCGACACAATAAACATAAATAAATGAACAAAGGAATTGTTAAAAATTGAAAAACTGCATTATGAGCCGTAGAACATCACAGAAATCGAAAATGCTAGACAAAAAAGGTTTTGACAAAAGTTTTGGATTGCTTTGGATTGCTTTGGAATCTCAAAAATGTATAAAACCAGTCAGATAACAAAAAAATGATGCCCAATTAAAGTTCTATCCGTGGTAACCCATTATTATTCTGATTGCTGTTATTATTCCGGTCACTCCTTGGTTTTGGCGGAAGTGTACTTGCTGAAGAACGAGATCTTCGCTTCCCTCTCATCCGAAGTGGCAGCATATACAGCTCTACTGGCCTGAAACAGCACTTGTTTTTATAGTTTTCTCTATATTCCTGTAAATTGTCAGCCAATCTACTTACCCATCGTCATCGGTTGTCGGTACCTCAGCTCTTCGCAATCGCGCGCTCCGAACACCGTAATGCCTAGAAAACCCCTTTTTTTACCTAATTTGCCATTTGAATACAACCATATTAACTTTTTCTTTGTTCTGTTAGCCATTCTAACTTTTTTACCTCAATGAAGCATCACAGAACTGGTTCAATTTCTGCATCTTGGCCAGTAGTGTCGGTTCCTTTGGAAATTTCTTTTCCGAGACGTAAAAGAGAAATTTGAGAAACCCGTGGAATGGAAGGCCTGTAATAAATTTTGAAAGTACTCTTTGAAGCTACTTACCCTGGGCAAGCTTCGATTGATCGCCAGTCAAATAGAAATTAATCTCAGCTGCCTTCAGATCTATCTCTCGGGAGGAGATTACGGGGGTCAGGTTGCATTTTCTGAAAATCACCCATAATGGAGGCGTCAAAACTCAATCCTCTATTTTAATTCAATCATCAAAATTTTTCAATGAAAAACGATTTGAGAACAATCAGTTAATGTAATTAGCACATTGGATTAACTTAGAAATGGGCGAAGACGCGCAAAAGCAGGTCCCGCGCCTCAATGCCCTCAAAATCCCAAAAGATCTCGAAAACTCAATCCTTCAGAATGCTACTTTATTGCTTCTAAAAAGTGTCTTTGGGCGCTATAGCATCCAAATAAGCTGTAACGAGCAATTTTCTCCCAGATTGGTCTGAACCACCACTCATAGAGCGACAGTGGCGCAATGCGGCTGTAGAGCGGCGTCAGCAGGCCAAACGGTAGGACTCAATCCTTCTTAAGCTAATTTTTACGCATTTTGTAGCTATTGGTTCCTAGAAGCATTGTCCAGTTAGCCCGCAAGAAGCAATACATTCTGGAATTTTACTATTCTAGAAGTTATTTGCCTTGTCCAAGCCCAATTGCTACGTTAAAGGGATACCGACGGCATAGTCAATCGATTACGCGCTGGAAAGAAAATGTCTCTGCGCCTCTCCCTCGGGCGCGCTCTCTGCCCTGTTGGCTACTTGCCAATTAGTTGATGGGGGGGGGATCGACACATGCCGTCGGCAGCCCTTTAATGCTTTTTGAAAAACTCAATCCTTGGAAAACGGGCGTTTTGCCTTTACTGGCGATAAATTTTCTCAGAAACTGTTCAGATAAGTTTAAAATAGGAATATTTAGTGGAATTTCGTAAGTTAACAATTTAGCGTCGATGCGGCGGGCTTTTCCTTACCCCCGCTCGAAAAACTCGATCCTTGAAAAACAGTTATTTTGCGTTTATCGTATCTAAATCTTTTCAAAAGGCATTCAGGTCAGTCGAAAATAAACATGGTTAGTGGAATTTGGTCCTAGAAACGTTTTTACAACGTATCCCGCAAGCTTTTCACGAGCGCTGAAAAACTCAATCCTTGAGAAATAGTTCTCGCGTTTGAAAATCCCTTCAATATGGTCTTTACCTACCATTTATACCAAAGCCAGGAATAATTGATCCATTTGGGTTATTACAACTTTTATAACCTACTTTACAAACTGTTTGAGGCCTCCAAGTGAGATATTGATTGATGCTCGTAGATGGACAAATTGCATGAAGAGATAGACGGCTTTGTCGAGGAAGAGAAGGTGGAAAGAATGCGCCCCGTATCGATTCGGAAAAATCTATCGAAATAGACAGTTAACCTCCTTTGAAAGTAAAAAAAGCGTACCTCGGACAAATGCGGCTTTTTCTTAGCTCTCAATGTATCAAGGTCATCCTGTGTATGATCTGGGAGTTGAGAGCTGGTTGTCGAATGGATTGCACTGCAAATAAGTAAACTTAATTAATTTGTGTTTTATATTTATTTAATGTTTGTCAACTAACCTTTCTCTAGCTGAGGAATATTCTTGATCCATCAAGTTGAGCACCAAAAGTAGTGTATCTCGAATTAGAGGTACTTTGATGACCTCATCCACGATACTTCTCACTTTCAGAGGGGCTTCTTCATATAACGCTTCGTCTAAAGTGATTATTAAGGGTCAGTTTGTGTAAGTAGAAAAAACTAATTATGGGAAAAGTATACAAAAATTGATACTAACCAGCAGAAGTAATCAACTGGTGGTCAATGGTAAGCGAGGGAGCTGCGTTGACTTCCAACAAAATTGGTTCCCCATTCTCACGGATCATCACATCAAAACCGATTATCTGAATGGCAATACAACTATTAAGCTCAAAAAACTACTTAATAAGACGGAATTCGAAAAATAAAAAATACCTGAAAACACTGTGGCCCGGGCTTATCGATAAAGTGATGCTCATAGTGGAGAAGGATTTCTGGGAGCATGGCTAGAACTGTCTAAAGTTGAGCACGACCTGACAGTTCGCCCTCCAGGCTGACCTTTACAAGTATCATTTTAATATCATGCCATAATTTTTTGGTTCTAAGGCCCCGGCTTTCCAGCTGGTGAAAAACTGTTGAGAGGAGACGTTTCGAGCCTGAAATTTTTGGCTACAGACTACATTTTGAACTTTTTGATGGAGAATTGTGTAAACTGGACTACAAACTACATTATATACTTTAAAACTTACCTTTAATCTGATCATGTAGTGAAGTGGAGTGTACATATCGATCATTTGCCTTGTTGAGCGAATAATTCGTCAAATGGGCATACAGATTTTCGAAATTCGAAGCATTTGGCCGACTATATTTTTCTGTACAAAACCGGGCCATTCCTAAAGTGCTTTTTGTCTGTCATTTCGTAATTTTCTATACCTTCTCGAGCCACATAGATTGATAATGGATTGATACTCCTAATGACACCGTATACCCGGAAGTCAAATTTCAATCCATCATTCATTAGAAGAGGATCGGCCACGTATTCCTAAATTTGAAGAATATAAACCAGTTAAGCTAAATAATTAGTAATTAGTCTATAAATAAACAAT